TTGGGGTCTCCTTCCCTCCCCCTCTCAGTCCGCCCCCACACCCAGGGGTCCCCTCAGCCCTCCTTCTTGGGGTCTCCCTTCCCTCCCCCCCCCCCTCAGTCCGCCCCCCACCCAGGGGTCCCCTCAGCCCTCCTTCTTGGGGGTCTCCTTCCCTCCCCCAGTCCGCCCCCACACCCAGGGGTCCCCTCAGCCCTCCTTCTTGGGGTCTCCCTCCGCTCCCCTCTCAGTCCGCCCCCACACCCAGGGGTCCCCTCAGCCCTCCTTCTTGGGGGTCTCCTTCCCTCCCCCTCTCAGTCCGCCCCCACACCCAGGGGTCCCTCACCCTCCTTCTTGGGGGTCTCCTTCCCTCCCCCAGTTCGCCCCCCACACCCAGGGGTCCCCTCAGCCCTCCTTCTTGGGGGTCTCCCTCCGCCCCCCTCTCAGTCCGCCCCCCACACCCAGGGGGTCCCCTCAGCCCTCCTTCTTGGGGGTCTCCCTTCCCTCCCCCCTCTCAGTCCGCCCCCCACACCCAGGGGGTCCCCTCAGCCCTCCTTCTTGGGGGTCTCCCTCCGGTCCCCCCCCCTCAGTCCGCCCCCCACACCCAGGGGTCCCCTCAGCCCGCCTTCTTGGGGGTCTCCTTCCCTCCGCCCCCACACCCAGGGGGTCCCCTCAGCCCTCCTTCTTGGGGTCTCCTTCCCTCCCCTCAGTCCGCCCCCACACCCAGGGGTCCCCTCAGCCCTCCTTCTTGGGGTCTCCTTCCCTCCCCCTCTCAGTCCACCCCCACACCCAGGGGGTCCCCTCAGCCCTCCTTCTTGGGGTCTCCCTTCCCTCCCCTCAGTCCGCCCCCACACCCAGGGGGTCCCCTCACCCTCCTTCTTGGGGGTCTCCCTTCCCTCCCCCCCAGTCCGCATCCCACCCCCAGGGGTCCCCACAGCCCTCCGTCTTGGGGGTCTCCTTCCCTCCGCCCCCCACACCCAGGGGGTCCGCTCAGCCCTCCTTCTTCGGGGTCTCCCTTCCCTCCCCTCTCAGTCCGCCCCCACACCCAGGGGTCCCTCAGCCCTCCTTCTTGTAGGTCTCCCTTCCCTCCCCCCCTCAGTCCGCCCCCCACACCCAGGGGTCCCCTCAGCCCTCCTTCTTGGGGGTCTCCTTCCCTCCCCCTCTCAGTCCGCCCCCACACCCAGGGGTCCCCTCAGCCCTCCTTCTTGGGGTCTCCCTCCGCCCCCCTCAGTCCGCCCCCACACCCAGGGGGTCCCCTCAGCCCTCCTTCTTGGGGTCTCCTTCCCTCCGCCCCCACACCCAGGGGGTCCCCTCAGCCCTCCTTCTTGGGGGTCTCCCTTCCCTCCGTCCCCCACACCCAGGGGGTCCCCTCAGCCCTCCTTCTTGGGGGTCTCCCTTCCCTCCCCTCTCAGTCCACCCCCACACCCAGGGGGTCCCCTCAGCCCTCCTTCTTGGGGGTCTCCCTTCCCTCCCCCCCTCAGTCCGCCCCCCACACCCAGGGGGTCCCCTCACCCTCCTTCTTGGGGGTCTCCCTTCCCTCCCCCCAACTTCTCCCCTTCAACTCCCACCTGACACCTCTTCCTCTCCACCCCACCGTCCCCTCCAAGCGCCCCCTCAGAAAAGGCGCCTTGCCTTTTCCCGCCAAAGGGCTGGCTCCGCCCCCACTGGCTTGGCAGCCAATCAGAGCGAGGCTCCCGCCCCTGGGGAATTTCTGAGGGACTAAGTCCGCTGACTGGCCTGGCTCTGCTGTCCATCACAGGCCCAACCAAGGGGGCATCCGGCAGCTGCCATCTATCTAGAGATCATCTACGTCTCTCAATTATCCATCTATCTATTTTCAACTCTTAGGGTTTGAAAATCTTCAGCATAACTGCTGGGTGTCAGAGCCCCGCAAGGCCTAATGTTTAGTACTAATAAATGGATGGAGGAAAAGTCTGGGGGGGGGGCGAGCCCCTCTCTGCCCCCCTCAAGGCTCCTCTCAGGCTCATCCAGGGTCAAAGGCCTCCTCCATTTTTGGAGGGCCAGGAAGTGAGTGGCCCCTGCAGCTTCGCCTGCTGGAAAGGGGGCGACATGCAAGAGGCCAGCCTGGCAGGGTTGTTGAGGCAGGGGCAGCTCCTGGGAGGAAAGGAGGTGCGAGGGAAGTGCCATTCTAGAATTATTATTATTATTATTATGTTATTGTTGCAAGAGGCGGGGAGTTCCAAAGGGCAGGTGCTGCCACACTAAGCCACGCAGTGCTGGAAAGGGGTGAAAGGCAAGCGGCCAGCCTGGCAGGGTTGTGGAAGGAGGAGCTCCTGGGAGGAAAGGAGGCGCGAGGGAAATGCCATTCTAGAAGTAAAGAGCCTCCGCCTCTCACTCCTCCTCCAAATGAGAGCCAGGTGCGTGTGAGAGTGTAAACATCTAGAGTGAGGGGGGAAAGTATTTGATCCCCCGCTAAATTTGGGTTTTTTGCCCTCTGACGAAGAAATGCCTAGTCCACAATATTAATGGTAGGTTTATTGTAGCTGTGAGAGACAGAATAACAACTAGGAAACCCAGAAGACAAAAGTCAAAGATTGATGAGGTTTATTTATTTTTTTTGGTTCTTGTTCCTACTTTTCTCTCTTTTATTTATTCCCAATATCATCCCGATTTTAATCCTTTATCTTATCTTGACAGCCACTGGCATGCAACTTTCATCATATTTAACAGATCTATATCTAAATTAACATGCATGATGAAAATTGTGCTCTTCTTGTTGTTGTCCATCAATTGTTTTCGGTGCAGTCCCTCCTCAGAAGGCCCTATTTCATTCCACCATCTTATCTTCCAGGACTCTGGGCTGTCTTCCTGCTTTCCTTTGTTTAGTTAAAATTAAGACACATGTAATGTATTTTAACTGACTGATATTTTCCCAAACTGAAGAATCTTCTGTAAGAGCGATAGATTTCACAGTTAATGTGAAACGGTAAAATCAGCTATGATTAAATGGGCACAAGACGTTGGACATAACATTATGTTTGCTGACTGGGAACAGTTGTGGACCACAGGTATGAAATTTACGGCATGCAATGCCTTAAGAGAGAATATTATGAAAATGATATACAGGTGGTACATAACCCCAGTCAAGCTTGCAAAAATCTATCATTTGCCCGATAATAAATGTTGGAAATGTAAAGAAACTGAAGGTACATTTTTTCACCTTTGGTGGACGTGCCCAAAGATTAAGGCTTTCTGGGAGATGATTTATAATGAAATGAAAAGGGTATTTAAATATACCTTCCCTAAGAAACCAGAGGCCTTTCTCCTGGGCATGGTCGGCCAAATGGTGCTAAAAAAGGATAGAACTTTCTTTATGTATGCAACAACAGCAGCAAGAATACTCATCGCAAAGTATTGGAAGACACAAGAGCTACCCACACTGGAGGAATGATGGACTACATGGAATTGGCGGAAATGACTGGCAGAATCCGTGACCAGGGAGAAGACTTGGTGGAGGAAGATTGGAAGAAATTCAAAGATTATCTTCAGAAACACTGCAAAATTAAAGAATGTTAGAGTGATGTTGAATTGAAAATAAGTGGTTTCCAGCTGTACAGGATTTAAAGTTATAGATAGACTAAGATTAAAGATTAGGATTAAAGATGTTTAAGGAAATGGAAATTTGGTACTTAAGAGGTAAAATTTTAATGTTATATTACATTAAGATTAAAGATTGAGATTAAAAAGTGGAAAAGAAATTGCTGGACAAACAATTTGGACTGTATTCCTATGGAAGGAAATGGAGTTTGAGCTTTGATGATCGGCTATGGCTTTGGCAGGATGCCAGATCGTTATTGAGAGAGTTGGACGGAAGGAGAAGCTGGAGTCTTGCCAGAGCTTTGGCGGGACGCCAGATTACTCTCTATCTGGACTCAAACAATAACAAAAAAGGGAGAGAAGATGGCGTGTGACGCAGTTGAAATTACAGCCTCATTCTCTGGTAACACGGTATTTCAACAAAGTCTCTCCATATCTTCAAACAAGCTGATACCTTGCCAATAATAATTAGAGCCCTCCACAAAGGACCGCACCATTAAACATCAAATTCTCAAGTTTTTTTAATGAAGTTTCACTTGCATTCCATTTAATTAATTGAATCTTTCTCCATGAGGCTTGCCAAATCATGAAGTAGGTGTCAGTACTGCAGTGTTTCATTCTTTCATTGCACAGTGTGACACTGTGCCTTTAATTGCCTAATTACCTAATGTATCATCGTGTGAGAACGGGAGCGATTTCTATATCTCCTCCTCCTCCCCTCTGGTCCTTGCATCTGGCTTTTGCTGAAGGATATGGCTGCGTGAGTCAGCTCGTCGCTCTGTTGCCTTCTTATCTTCTCGATGCTGCTTTCCAGCCAGAGTCTGCCTCTGCTGTACTCTGCTACTACGGGCGAAGTTCCTCACCATTCGGACAAATGAGGGAGGGCGTTGGCCCAACAGTAGCAAGTATAAGCAAAGATGAGATGCTCACCTCACATCTTCTGTAGCAGAGCGACAAAAGTCCTTTCAAAGTCCAAATTCAAATCTTTGTTGAAAAACAGGAATGCTCCCGCTCATGGCGTTGGCATTGGAGATTTTCCAATTCGTGCAATGCTAAACACCCAGCGCCCCTGCCTCCACTGTAGCGAGCAGCAGATATCGGATGGCATGTGCGCCCCATCCCTGCAGGGTTCAACAGGGATAATTACCCCCAGATTCACCTTGTTTAATTGCACGACTAGGGTCCGGTGTCCTGGGAAAGCAGCCAAACGCCATAGGCCATCACACCGGAAGTCTTCTCCAAAGTCTTTTATATTTTCTCTCTGATAGTAAGAGCTGACTGTGAAAAGGAACTCTCTCAGAAGGGGGGTGGACCTTCCTTGGGGGGTTTTAAGAAGAAGTTGGATGGCCACCTGTCATGGATGCTTGAAATGAGATTTCTGGAGGGGCTGGACTAGATTCTGAATCTATAATTCTATACTTCACCCTGGTGTGAGATCTTAAATTGACTTTTGAACAAGTGAAATTTTATACACATTCCGTGTGCTGATATGCTTTCAACCCCGTATGAATTATTTGGTGGGCCATGAGCAGATCTTTTCCCACATTCCAAACACTAAACCGTTTTCTCTCTTGTATGGATTCTTTGATGGGAAGTGAGACTATCCTTACGACTGAAGCTCTTTTCACATTCTGAGCACTGATAGGGTTTCTCCCTGTATGAATTCTTTGATGAGAAGTGAGATTCCCCTCCTGACTGAAGCGCTTCCCACATTCTGAGCACTGATAGGGTTTCTCCCCTGTATGAATTCTGTGATGGTAAGAGAGTGCGGCACTTTGACTGAAGCTCTTTCCACATTCCAAGCACTGATAGGGTTTCTCACCTGTATGAATTCTTTGATGGGAAGTGAGCTTGTGGCCCTCCCGGAGGCTTTTCCCACATTCCAAGCACATATAGGGTTTCTCCCTGTATGAATTCTTTGATGGGAAGTCAGATCACCACTCTGACGAAAGCTCTTTCCACATTCCAAGCACTGATAGGGTTTTTCCCTGTGTGAACTCTTTGATGGGAAGTCAGATCACCACTCAGGCGAAAGCTCTTTCCACATTCCAAGCAGTGATACGGTTTCTCTCCTGTATGAAGTCTTTGATGGGAAGTCAGATGACCACTCAGACAAAAACCTTTTCCACATTCGAAGCACTGATAGGGTTTCTCGCCTGTATGAATTCTTTGATGAAAAGTGAGATTCACCCACTTACTGAAGCTCTTTCCACATTCCAAGCACTGATAGGGTTTTTCCCCTGTATGAATTCTTTGATGGGAAGTGAGATCACCACTCAGACGAAAGCTCTTTCCACATTCCAAGCACTGATAGGGTTTCTCCCCTGTATGAATTCTTTGATGAGAAGTGAGATTCCCCTCCTGACTGAAGCGCTTACCACATTCTGAGCACTGATAGGGTTTCTCCCCTGTATGAATTCTGTGATGGTAATAGAGTGTGGCACTTTGACTGAAGCTCTTTCCACATTCCAAGCACTGATAGGGTTTCTCACCTGTATGAATTCTTTGATGGGAAGTGAGCTTGTGGCCCTCCCGGAAGCTTTTCCCACATTCCAAGCACATATAGGGTTTCTCCCTGTATGAATTCTTTGATGGGAAGTCAGATCACCACTCTGACGAAAGCTCTTTCCACATTCCAAGCACTGATAGGGTTTTTCCCCTGTGTGAACTCTTTGATGGGAAGTCAGATCACCACTCTGACGAAAGCTCTTTCCACATTCCAAGCACTGATACGGGTTATCTCCGGTATGACATCTTTGATGGGACGTCAGATGACCACTCTGACAAAAGCTCTTTCCACATTCCAAGCACTGATAGGGTTTTTCCCTGTGTGAACTCTTTGATGGGAAGTCAGATCACCACTCAGACAAAGCTCTTTCCACATTCCAAGCAGTGATACGGTTTCTCTCCTGTATGAAGTCTTTGATGGGAAGTCAGATGACCACTCAGACTAAATCCTTTTCCACATTCGAAGCACTGATAGGGTTTCTCCCCTGTATGAATTCTTTGATGGGTAGTAAGACTTTCCTTCCGACTGAAGCCCTTTCCACAATCCAAGCACTGATAGGGTTTCTCGCCTGTATGAATTCTTTGATGAAAAGTGAGATTCACCCACTTACTGAAGCTCTTTCCACATTCCAAGCACTGATAGGGTTTTTCCCCTGTATGAATTCTTTGATGGGAAGTGAGATCACCACTCAGACGAAAGCTCTTTCCACATTCCAAGCACTGATAGGGTTTCTCCCTGTATGAATTCTTTGATGAGAAGTGAGATTCCCCTCCTGACTGAAGCGCTTCCCACATTCCAAGCACTGATAGGGTTTCTCCCTGTATGAATTTTGTGATGGGAAGTGAGGTGACCCTTCCGATTGAAGCTCTTTCCACATTCCAAGCACTGATACGGTTTCTCCCCTGTATGAATTCTTTGATGAGAAGCGAGATTCTGGCGGTGACTAAAGTTCTTCCCACATTCCAAGCACTGATACGGTTTCTCCCCTGTATGAACTCTTTGATGGGAAGTGAGATTCCCCCAGTGACTGAAGCTCTTTCCACATTCCAAGCAATTATATGGTTTCTCCCCTGTATGAACTCTTTGATGCAAAGTTAGATTACCCTTTCGATTGAAGCTCTTTCCACATACTCTGCACTGATACAATTTCTCCCTACTCTGTGTTCTTTCATGTGAAGTCAGGGTATTCCTTCGAATGAAGCTCTTTCTTTGATGGGAGGTGGACTGGGAACTCTGACGGATCTTCTCTCCACACTCTGAATATTTATATGACTTCTCCGCTATGGGGATTCTGTTGTGCTCCCCCTTGTTCTTCCCTTCTGATTCATCACCATCTGCAATGAAGAGAGAAGCTAATTAGTCTCAGGAGGAAATGGGAGCTCCAGATTATTGAACAATGTTAATGAATGCTTGTGACAGAGGAAGAACTGAAGAGAATGAGATGTGAGGCCGTCCTATAGGTTTCACTTCCTTAGTTGGCTGGTATTAACTGAGATATTGCTTGGCTTTTATCTGGGATGGATATTTTTGTGGCTCAATCATGGAATCACTGTACATCGCGGTGGCTGGGGAGCTGTGATCTATTCCTAGCTCAAATTGCCTGCAGATGACAAAGGTGCAGGCAGGCAGGGAGGCAGGCGGGGAGCCCAAAAAGGTGCTCCCCTTCTCCATCTCCATCTGCCTGCCTGCCTCCCCCCACCCCCAAGCTGAGCAAGCCCCAATTCCTCTCTGGCTCCATCCATCCAGGTCCCCATCTCCCCTCCCCTGGGACTCACCAGATCTCTCGGAGGTCCCTGGGAGGGAACGCTCAGAGGTTGTGGGGAGGGATGCAGGAGACAACCTGACCAGGTCAACCGTCCCACGTCCCCTTCCATCCTTGCTAGCTTTGCAGGATCCGTCTCTTTCATCCTTCTGTTGAATGGTTTCTTTATATGTAAAGGTTCATCATTGTTCCACCCGATGTGTATGTCTTTAAGGGGCCAGAGCAAGATAACGAGACCCAGCTTTACAGCTGTGAAACATAGCAGGTGCTGCTGAGTTGTATTGATTAAGCCGTGTTGGCAATTGGGTGTAGTATATAAGGAGCTGCACCTAGCTCTCCCATTACCCTGGGGATGGGTTGGTGGTTGGGTCTGGTTTGTTTTGTTGATGTATTTAGTGTAAAAGGAGTTTTTGTTTTTGTTATTAAAACCTTGTTGAAGTTATTTTTGAGTCCCTTTTTAATGCATGGTCTCCCCAGCAAGCTCTCTGCAGCGCTACCAGACTGCAAAAAGCCAACATTTTTCTGAGGAGTCAAGGAGCCAAAAGAAGCTGCAGGGTCCTGGGAGAGAGGAAGAAGCAAAGGGAGCCTCAGAGGCCCTGCAGGGATTTTCTGGCTGGAGGGAAGCCTCCCAATGTTGGGGGCCCCATCCACAGCTTCCACAGTAAAATCCCTGCTTTATCTCATTTCTGGCCAGAGAGCTCCCCTCTTCCACCCTCCATCCATCCCTCCATGTCCCCATCTCCACTCCTCTGGGACTCACCAGATCTCTCGGAGGTCCCTGGGAGGGAACGCTCAGAGGTTGAGAGGAGGGATGCAGGAGACAACCTGACCAGGTCAACCGTCCATCTTCCCCCTCCATCCTTGCTAGCTTTGCAGGATGCGTCTCTTTCATCCTTCCTGTGGAGTCAAGGAGCCAGAAGAAGCTGCAGGGTCCTGGGAGAGAGGAAGAAGCAAAGGGAGCCTCAGAGGCCCTGCAGGGATTCTCCTGCCCTAGATATTCTCCTGCCTCTGGAGAAGAACAAGTGGGGCAGCCCCTTCTCATCAGAAGCCCCATTTGTAAACATCTCCAGTGCTTGCAGTTTCCCGTTTGCTAATCACCCCACTTCGTAAGGATGGCAGGGTCTGCACAATAGTGACCTGAGAGTTGATCCCATTGAACTCATTGGGGCTTATGAACAGAACTTGGTGCCAAAACGAGTTACCATCCTGTCCCTGAGCCTGAAAACTGCAACCCCAGAGCATGGGCAGAAAACAGATGAGTAGCTAATACCTGTAAGTGGCCCCATGCTTGGTGCTTTCTACGGAGAGTCCTGTTGACGCAGATGTTTTGGCCATATTTGCCTCTTGCATGTGGACCAAATCTTTGGGGAAGCTCTTCATCTCCAATTGGTAGGAAAGAGGGTTCATTAACCTGCTGGTGGGAGGAGGTGGCTTTTCAGCCCATAAATTCAACTCATGCTGGAATATCTGGTGGGCTGGATCTGGAGCACAAAGGGTCAAGTTCTACTTGCATGAGCCCTTGTGTTCCTTCTTCAAACTTATTAGGCAAGAACGTCAGAGGTCAAATCTGGGGAATATTTCATTCTGGGCTTCTTACGGCAGAGCACAGAAGACATGCAATCAATTCTTTTCAGTTCTGTCAAGTAGGTCCTTCCCTAGATTTCTCAAGTGCAAGGACCCAGGGCTGTCTGAGTTATGGGGTTCCTTGGGGTCCAGGTCAGCTGGCTAGTCAGGATTGTCACCTGCAGAGTATATGTCAACTAAAGCAGGATAGTCTGCCTTGAACTGAGGACTTTTTGGAGGTGTTGCTGAATGTGGAAGCAGAGGAGCTGGTGATGCCACATTTTTGAATAATCTTCAGACTGATACACCACTCCTCCTTAGATATTCTCTGTGCTTATGCACTATGTTCATAAACTTTCCACTCCTCTTGTGACAAGATTCCCAAAGGCTTATGGTAGCTTGAGAGAAGTAGCTTATTTTGAGACAGCACCCATTTCCAATTCTTGTTTATCAAAACCCTCTCCCTGGTTTGATTTTGGCTTCTGACAGGACAGCAGACCATTTGATAACCTTGCATATCGTTTCATATTGATATAAGGATCTGGTGTGCAAATTCCAGTACAGTGGTACCTCGGGTTACATAGGCTTCAGGTTATATACGTTTCAGCTTACAGACTCCGCTAACCTAGAAATAGTACCTCGGGTTAAGAACTTTGCTTCAGGATGAGAAAAGAAATCATGCTCCGGCGGCGCGTCAGCAGCAGGAGGCCCCATTAGCTAAAGTGGTCTTCAGGTTAAGAACAGTTTCAGGTTAAGAATGGACCTCTGGAGCGAATTATGTACTTAACCCAAGGTACCACTGTACAGTACAAGCTTCTTAAGTGTTCTGTCTGGACCCAGAGCATGAGCTACTCTTAAGTAAGTTAAAAGGTATTTTTAAGTCAACTTTTTAATATTGCACTATTTTAATTTTTTTTAACATTTTTGCTCTTCTTTGTACTTATAGACCTCCTTTTGCCATGTGGACGAATTAAACCTCCCTTATTGATCTATTTTTAATGGTAGGGAAAGAGATATTGTTGTATTATCTGGTTCCACAGACTCTGCCAGATTTTATTCCAGAAGGTTTTACAAGTACCTATCAGGATGGTAAGAATTTTATTACAGTCAGCCAAAAAGGATTTTATGCATTCTATGTCCCTTGTTAGTAGTACAAGTCACCCAATGACTGATAATTCCTCATTTGCACCAGAGGCTTGGGAGAAGGAGTCTTTTATCCTTGTATTAGCATTTCCTGAGGATAGTTCTGAAATTTTCTTTCTCATTAGTTCCTCTACTTGTTTAGCCTGAATTTGGCCTTGAGTCGCTTGAGCTCCTGGTCTCAGTGCCAGAGATGACTTAGCAGTTGAGCTGCCTGGGCCCAAAACCTCTTTCTGCTCATCCTTAGAGCTGCTGAGAGATCCTATAAGGTCAGTAATAGGATCTGGCTCCTGCTGTTTCTTAGCCACCTCCTCATTTTTCTTATTCACGTAAAATTGATTTTTGCTTGTGCTTTCTTCAGAGAAGCTCTCTTTGGAGGTGGGTCTGTGGCACTTGGGGAGAGAACATACATTTTGTAACTACTCTGGGTCAACACTGTCTTTCCCCTTAATTCCTCATCATGTTTCCTGATATCATTAATAATCATAATCATAATCATAATCCTAGCCTGAGGAAGAAATTGAGGCTGAAATGACTGAAGAATGCAAATGAATGTTTGTGAAAGAGGAAGAAGGGAAGGGAGTTACTGCCTTTTTTGGTTGGTATTAGCTAACGTATTTATGGGACCTGGAGATTCGAAAAGCCTGGCTCGTTCCAGGGATGGATTTAATTTGGCTCAGTCGTGGAATCCGCTCCATCTCCAAGCTCAGTCATTTCTTTGCTCAACCAAAAACAGAGAGATGCAGAAAGGGAAACAGAAAATTTGACAGGATGTTCCTCCACATCCCTGAGATCTCTGAAGCCTACATTGAAGAAGGCCTGGGCAGCTCAGAGCAGCCTCCTCATGGTTGGAAAAGGCAGGACTGGTGGAAGAATATTCCCAGACAGAACAGGAGATACATCTCCTATGGAGAGTTGTGGGTGTGTTAACATCTCAGATGCTGTAGGTGGCGCTATGGGGCTCCCTCAAAATAGAGGAGGTTTGTCCTTCAGAGATCTGTATGGAATTTCAAAACTGATCTTATGATCCAGCAGGGAGCCTTACCAGAGAGGCCACGATCCCAGGATTCTCCTCCTTGACTTGCTTCTGCAGAGCTCTCTGGTCAGGATCCAGCAAAGCCCAGTCCTCCTCTGTGAAAGGAACAGCTACGTCTTCAAAGCACACTGGACCCTAAGGGAAAAAAGGGAGAAGAAAGATGATATTTTTCTACACATTGCTCTGTTCTTTTCTGCCTCTTAATAGCTGCATTGTTTTAACATTATTCTTTTCCTTCATGCTTATTTCAGTAGCTTAATGGAACAATTTTGTTGTGTATTTAAATGATGGGGGAGAGACGTGTGTTGTTGCATCTGGGACACAGGAAGTGGTCCTGTTGTGCTGCTGCAGATGCAGACGGGCTTTTCTTCTCCCTGCGCTCCCCCCACGTGGGAATGTTCCCGTCTGTCTACATCCTCTGTTCAGAAATGTGACTTTTCCCTCCCTTTGAAGGGGGTTTACTTTCTTGACTCAAAGCCCCCTCCCCCGAAAGGAAGGCAGCATCTGGATCCCAAGGAAGAGCAGAGCTGCATATTTCCTGCGAAGTGGCCCCTCCCTGGCTTGGCAGAGAGGACAAGGGAGGACCCTCTGCTCCCTAACTTGGGGGTCTCCCCCCCATCAGGCATGATCTGAGCAGGGACCCCCATGGCCCCTCCCTGCCCCCCTGGGACCCCCTTCTCCCCATTGCACCCTCAGGGGGAGGAGAGAGGAGAGAGGAGACTCACCCGAGTCCAGGAGGGGCTTTTGCAAAGGAGAGAGAAGAAGAAGGCAGGGAGGGAGGGGGAGGGGGGATTTAGCCCTGGAGGACCTTCACTCCCCCTTCACTTCCCGTCCTCTCTAGGACTCCCGCTCTGCTCCTCTTAACCCTTGCAAGCCCAGCCCTCCCTCTGCCCCAAGGAGCCCCCAAGGAGCCCGACTCAGCGCCCGGGAGACGGGGCTTCCCCCGGAGTCTCCGGCAAGGGCAACAGCTCCGCCTGGTCCAAGCAGCCTCCTCGAGAGGAATCCCAGATCCCCAGGGAGACCCTGCCAAGTCCGGCCTCCGCAGCCCCAGAGTCGGCCCTCCAGCTCCCCATCTTCCCTGGGGCAGCCCTGTATTGGGGAGGCCAAGCTGGGGTCCGGAGACGCCTCCTTCCCTGGGACTTGGAGGCTGGCAGGCCCAGTCAGACTTGGGGGGCCCTTTCCCTCCGCCGCCCCCCACACCCAGGGGTCCCCTCAGCCCTCCTTCTTGGGGGTCTCCCCCCGCCCCCCCTCAGTCCTCCCCCCACACCCAGGGGGTCCCCTCAGCCCTCCTTCTTGGGGGTCTCCCCCCGCCCCCCCTCAGTCCGCCCCCCACACCCAGGGGGTCCCCTCAGCCCTCCTTCTTGGGGGTCTCCCTTCCCTCCGCCCCCACACCCAGGGGGTCCCCTCAGCCCTCCTTCTTGGGGGTCTCCTCCGCCCCCCTCTCAGTCTGCCCCCACACCCAGGGGGTCCCCTCAGCCCTCCTTCTTGGGGTCTCCTTCCCTCCCCCTCTCAGTCCGCCCCCCACACCCAGGGGGGTCCCCTCAGCCCTCCTTCTTGGGGGTCTCCCTCCGCTCCCCCCTCTCAGTCCGCCCCCCACACCCAGGGGGTCCCCTCAGCTCTCCTTCTTGGGGGTCTCCCTTCCCTCCCCCCTCTCAGTCCGCCCCCCACACCCAGGGGGTCGCCTCAGCCCTCCTTCTTGGGGGTCTCCCTTCCCTCCCCCCTCTCAGTCCGCCCCCCACACCCAGGGGTCCCCTCAGCCCTCCTTCTTGGGGTCTCCTTCCCTCCCCCTCAGTCCGCCCCCACACCCAGGGGTCCCCTCACCCTCCTTCTTGGGGGTCTCCTTCCCTCCCCCCTCAGTCCGCCCCCACACCCAGGGGGTCCCCTCAGCCCTCCTTCTTGGGGGTCTCCCTTCCCTCCGCCCCCCACACCCAGGGGGTCCCCTCAGCCCTCCTTCTTGGGGGTCTCCCTTCCCTCCGCCCCCCACACCCAGGGGGTCCCCTCAGCCCTCCTTCTTGGGGGTCTCCCTCCGCTCCCCCCTCAGTCCGCCCCCCACACCCCGGGGGTCCCCTCAGCCCTCCTTCTTGGGGGTCTCCCGTCCCCCCCCCTCCGTCCGCCCCCACACCCAGGGGGTCCCTCAGCCCTCCTTCTGGGGGTCTCCTTCCCTCCCCCTCTCAGTCCGCCCCCAACACCCCGGGGTTCCCCTCCCCCTCCTTCTTGGGGGTCTCCCTTCCCTCCCCCCCGGAGTCCGCCCCCCACACCCAGGGGGTCCCCTCAGCCCTCCTTCTTGGGGGTCTCCCTCCGCCCCCCCTCAGTCCGCCCCCCACACCCAGGGGGTCCCCTCAGCCCTCCTTCTTGGGGGTCTCCCTTGTTAACGGAAAATCTGAGGGCTCCCTTGGACAAAAACAAAGACACCAACCAGAGCAATTGGAAGCAAATCAGCAGCCAGTAGGCTTGGTCTTTATTGAAGAAAAGACTGTTGCAACAGGGTGTTCCCCTCACTTGCAGGAGAGAGGAAAGACCCAGAAAGATGGTGTGCAAGACCTTATAAAAACTTTTGAAATTCCCCTCCTCTAGGTCAAGCCCACTCCCAGAAACATCATGCATACATTACAGAAAGGAGGGGTTGACATCACGCATACATTACAGAAAGGAGGGGTTGAGGGAGGAGTTGTGGTGGTAACCTGAGTGTCCTGTCACCTGGCTGGTTCCTCCTTCCCGGGGGGGGGGGGGGGGCCCGGCCCATGAGTCACTTCCAGGAGACAAAGGGGAGTTGGCAGTTTCCTGCCCCCAGAGGGAAGATCTGATCATTGTCCTTTGTTTCAGTCCATGCTGAATCCACTCCCATATGCAAGTTCTTTGTGATCTTGATGGTCTTCTGTCTAGGACCATCAGGGTTGGCATAGCAACTGGGCAGGGCTCCTGTGGATGTGCTGGGATGGTGAAGGGATTATGGCTGACCAGAACCAAGCCACCCCCCTTTGATAGTCCTTGTCATATGGAGTAAAATAAAAATGGAACAGTGCAAATCCAATGTATGGTTGATTTTTCTATGAATTTATAACAGAAGTGTGGCATATGTGGTATGTGAGTGTGAGCGTGTGAAGTTTGTACAAACTGAATGATTGGGGTGGGGGGTTCCTGCTACAGTTCCCCCCTTCGGAGATAAGATTGCAAAGGTGGCTACTTTGCAATCCTTTTCTCCGCACAATTTAAGGTGGTAAATATTAACCTGCTATTCTCCGTCCCAGATGCGTGTGTCCATGTGAACCTGAAAGGGACTTGGATGTCACGCTCCTTAAGGATATTTGCATAGAAATATAACAGTGTAACAGTGCACATAGTTAGACATAGGCTATCACGTAAGATTAATATTTTGTTGCTCAGTTACTTGTGGTATTCTAGCACCTTGGAAGAAATATTTTCTCAATAGTGGTCTATGCTTTACATTTAGCGGGAAGGTCCACCAATGACTGAAAAATGCAGTTTGCTTTGTCCCCCACCATGTTTGTGTTCTCAGGTGTCAAGGTAGCTCTTCTGTGGTCTCACATCGGCATGGTGTCACAGCAGTGGCAATCCCTGGTGAATCCACTTAGGGCTTTCACATTAACCATGTTGCCTGGCACTCACCACAGCTGGCACAGGTTTAGGACACGTCATGAGAGATATGTCTTTGCCTTGGCCATTCTATGGGATTTTATTATTATAGGCTCTGGTCTTGCAGTCATGGGAAGTTGCTCACTTGCACTTTAAGGACCAAAAAGCTAATTGCAGCCTGGATACACTTGCCCAATTCAAACTGAGTCCAATTTGAATTTTCTTGCCCCATGGTTCTCAACTTTTCTGTTAAAACAGAACCATCCAAATAAGTCAATTTAACTCTATAAGGGATTATTCCTGCTAAACCAAAGCATATACACCTTCCTGAAGCTTCTCCTTGGTAAAGCGAGTTTTAGCACATTTTTAAATGGGTAGGGAAGTTGGCAGAGTGCCAGGTGAAACAACGAAATGTGGTTATAAATTTATCTAATTCTAAACATTTGACTACACAATAGCCTGACCTATTAGAACGCATAAAATGTATGAGAATCCTCCACTGGGGTGTAAGGAATAAGACATTAAACATAAAAACAATTACACACAAAATAGCCCCCGATTTGTGGAAATAACACACTGTCAGACACATTTCAACATTCCTACGTAATAACACATAATACAAATACAAACTAATTAAATATCAGTTGCATATCTCGAGACAATTGGGATATTTTATGTATGTATCTTTTGAATCCTGGAGCACAGTCTTGAGGTTCAAAAGTGAGAAGATGTCCTTGCAATTCAACTCCACCCCCCTTTGTCAGGCCCACTCCCCCGGCAGTCTATATCCTTTGAAAGAGATAGCTGTGGGCACTTTGAAACTTTGGTGTCTGTTGTTGTTGCAGGTCTTGTGGTGGCGAAGCTTTTCATTGGATCTGTAGTAACACATTTGTAGAAGTGATATCCTGTAAGGGGCAGGGTTTTGAGGACTTAAAAGACAGAGTTAGAAAAGGGAAGGGGCAAAAGGCAAAAGGATGTCCTTCAGTTTCCGTTGGAAGCTGCAAATAATAAAAATCTTAGTGGATTAAGCATTTCATTCATTCCAATATTATTATCACATTTCCATATAATTACTGTTATTATCTGCCAAGTTTGTTTGCTTTCCTTCACTTAGTTTGGCTGTGGAAGAAACGGAGGGACAAAACCTTTGTTAATTTGAACACAATTGGCAAGTTATTAAACATTTTGCTTATGTGGGTCCGAGTTCACGTATCCTGTTTTAAAGGGAAATTTTTATTTCCTTTGAAAATCTCTGTCAGGAATGCTGTTCCTATAATGCACACAAAGCCTGTTATAAAAGTTAAATCCCATTGGGGGTGAGAGAACTAGTCAAGAGTGGAACTCACAGTGGGAGCGCTTTGATATTTACCTGTGAAAAGAATTTGGCATGTTAAGATTTGAAACCTGGAAACCTCTTGACTTTTGATGGGCTAGTACTTAACCCTTTTGTCTTACGTAGCCCCTGGAGCAAAGGACACATTAAGGGTGATTTCCCTCAATGGTTCCAAGTTTTACATAAGGAAATTTGGATAAGTTTCTCCCTGCAGCCCAAGCTCTCGAAACCTCCTCTCCCCCCTTACAGTTCCCCCCTTCCTCTCTCTCTCTCTCTTTCCTCCCCCCCCTTTTTTTAGCTGATCTAGCCTCTGTGCATGTGCAGAGTTCATGTCTCAGCAAACCTTTTATACTATTGAAAATGTTGAATCTTTGGGCTAAATTACCATTTGAATAAGGGAAGGGAAGGGTAAGGAGTAGATTTTAAAAATAGGGTTAGATTTTAAAACAAAAAAGAGAAACTCAGCGATTCAAGTATTCACCAAAGCTAGCAATTGCAGCCCAAGCAAAGGGACTGCTTCCTTTATGTACAGGAAAGGGCTAATATCCCTCTGGCCATTCGCGGAACAATGCCACGCCCTTATATATGGGAAAAAAGTGGCCAGAGAGTCAGAATTCATAGGATTTTTTTTAACATTCTCAGTCATTTCAGCCTTACCATTTGCAGACAATTCCCCCCCCCCTGCCCTTTATTTACAGGATTGGTCAAGGCGCATATGTATTTGTATGTGCTGAAACTTTGAATTGACTTTGAAGTCTGATTTTTAAATAGTAGACAAAATGATAAACACTGTAATCACTCAAATGCTTGATATTACCAGTTGTGCTTCAAAAACATCACGGCTTCACCTCACACCTTTTAAAACTAAAGAGCAAAGCTAGGCTGAATTTCAACTCCATCACCACACCAGAATTTAAGAATTACCCTCCAATGCTTGC